GATATGATTTATTAACCACAACTTATATTTAGACACACGAAAAATATGAAACATTAACAAGTTGTAACATCCTGAATTCGACCCACTTTCGTGATCAATGAAATGGATGGTTGTTTCTCATTTTGTTTTGGTGAGGTTCGCCCTGAACTGATCATTCTCGGGATACTGACCAATAGGGAATGACTAACTAGGAAAACGATACGTGGACCTAAGAACTCGACCGTGAATCGAGTCCGATTCCGAGGAACGACGAGGGAATATTTTGGGCCAATGCGGGCTGATCCAAGGAGGGTGACGGATTTGGTTTGGCCAACAACGTACTATCGGATAGCGGGTGATTCCGCACGACCGAGAGTACGCGTGGCGAGCAATCCCGAACCTATTCCGAACGATCGCAACCCCCGGAACTAGCGATAAATCCTCGCGTTCTCTTAGAGATCGAGACTGTCACGACTCGAGTAATCCTAAGTCGATACACGTAACCCCTAAACAGCCGCCCGCTAGTGAGAGACGCTAAAATCGCATTTGAGTAAAATTGATCGTGGAATTGAATCCGGACTTCGGTGTCGAATTTCGTGGACGTACGCGTCTATTTTGCAAGGACGACGTCGTATTAATGTGGCCAATTATATTTGGGATCGGTATAGTCAAAAATTGAAAATTTGGCCCAGGAACGAAAAATTACCGTTTTGCCCCTAAGCCTATGCATGGGTTCCGAATTTTGGGGATTAAAAATGGACTAATCAACCCCCAATAATGCTGAAAAATCATGGACCATGTTGCCCCTAGATATTTTGGCAAGAATCAATCCAAGCCCTTGAATTGAGGACAAGATGATCATTTTTGGGGAAGTAGTTCACCAACCCCCACTCACCAATTTGGATAAAACTCTCCCTCAATCTCTTCCTCCCCTCATTCCTCACCATCACCGGCCACTCCCCTCTCCATTCACTCCCCCACTCTCACGCCTCACTCCCTCTCCATTTCCTCTTCCATTTGGCCGTGAGAAGCCAAGCCACGCCGGAGCGCCGCCGCCGCCGTTCCGTGATCAGCCGCCCTCATCACCTTGTTCGGCCTCCTTGGAGCTTAAGAAACCTAGTGAGTACAACCCTAAACCCTAGTTAAGCTAATGTACATTTCTAGATGAGTTTTAGGGGTTATTTAGGGTATTTTAGGGGTTAATCTGTTGGCTGGTGCTTAGGCTGATTATGTGGTGAATTTGGGAGTTTAGTGTGATGATTTAAGTGTGATATGATGGCCTAGAATGGGCTGATCGGTGGCTGTTTATTGTGGATTCGATTCGGGCCATTATGTGGATTAAATGGGCGCAATGTGTGGGCTGTGAGTTAGGCTGGAAATGTGGTGATTATGAGAGCCTAATGTGATGATTTAAATGTGATTTGGTGGCCTAGAACGGGCTGGTTGTTGGCTGATCATGGTGGACTTGATTTACGCTATTATGTGGATTACTATTGGGTGCATTGTGTGGCCGTGTAGTGGCTGACCTTGTGGTGATTTTGGAGGTTCATTGTGCTGATTTGGAAGTGAAATGGTGACCTAGGGTGGACTGTTCATGGCTGATTTGGTGTAGATTGGATTTGGGCCATATTTGATTAATCATGGTCTTAATGTAAATTGCCAAGTGTATTGTGAATGGACCATGAGGAGGTTGAATTGAACGCGACTTGACGTTAGTATTTTGATGACATATTGGGTACTTGTGTGGCCGTGACTTGAGGGAGCCTTGGGGATCATGGACTTGTGAAATTTTAATGATCTAATTTCGTGAATTCGTGTGCCAAGTATGTGCCATGGCTGGATTGAATGATTTGATTAGTTGGGCTTGTTGACATGTTGAATTGAGCATATTGCGGTGTGAATTGAACAAGTGGTTTTGTGAAATTGAATGCCCATTGTAAATTTCATGGATGCCCGAGTGTGAACGTATGGCCATGAGTGTGCATATCGAGCATTGGCATAACATGTGCATATGCGAGTGTGCACGAATGACATGAGCATGTGATCACCTAAATTGCCCTGATGCGTTTTACGCGGGGTTCAGATAATAATTGGTGATTGTGGACGTGTGATCACATAAAGCGCTGATGCGTTTTACGCGGGGTATTGAACCCGTCCTGAGGCGTGTTACGCAGGACGATGCCCGGACTACCGAAAGATGGCCAACCTGATGCGTTTTACGCGGGCCAGAGATCGATCTCGAAGTGATAGACCTGATGCGTTTTACGCGGGTCGGAGGAGAATTGAGAAATGGCATGTGTGTAAGTGTGCAAGAGTGCATCGATGAGCACGAGTATGAGCATGAGCATGAGTAGATGCATGACATACGTTGTGGCCAAGTGATGTTATGTATGTGCCACGATTGGGTTCTGTGTTATTATTGCGAATATCAAGTGCCTAACCTGCAGGGTCAATTAAGTATTGGATTTGGGCCCGAGGGCCTAAGTCCTTTATATTCTGGATTATGTGTTTGTTTAGTGCTTGTCAGGAGGTGCATGTTAGCCTAGTTTAGGTTTAGGGGGCCTACTCGCTGAGATTTATTCTCATTGTTATTTAAACCCCACTTTTCAGACCCCCGACCCTGAAGATGGTAGATGTGCCGCTTCGTTTTGGGATCCCGTATCACATAGAGCAATCGGTGACAGAGCATCTCGTAGGGAACGGGGAGTCTTATATTAGGTATTACAATATAGTTTGGGTCGACGAGGGCGGGCCACATTTCCGGGCCCATCCTTACCTCGCTTGGTGTTTTCGGGACCAGTTCGGCACCCATGGACCTCTTAGGACCTTCGACGTCCTGTTTGACATTTTAGGCCAGCCGGATCCGCAGGCCGCCGATGGAGAGGTCGTGAGCCCCGCTGCCACGTCCGAGGAGGATTCTGGCGCCCAGCCAGTCATCATCGAGATGGATACCGAGTCCGAGGGAGAGGGGCCGATGGACTGGGAGTCCGATATCGAGCCGGAGCCGGAGCCCATGGAGCAGGAGCTAGAGCCGGAGGATGATTCCGGGGAGGAGTCAGTGGACGCCGAGTCCGAGCCGGATTCGATGGATTCTGAGTCCGAGTCGTCGGACGATTCGTCTGAGTCCTCCAGATCCGACTCGGATTGGTTGCTTAGGTTTAGCCTTGACCATAGTTAGGTAGGGCCGATACTTTTTTATAGGAGCCCTTTTTAGATAGTGCATGACCGCCCGAGCCACATACCCTTTTTGATGTTAGTGGCCGTTGACCCATTTTTGGTTGGTGTATAGTTCAGTATGAATGGATATTGTATATCCCTGTTATTAATGCAAGTTGTATTTATAGTATTTCTGCTATCTTTGGTCATGTTGTTTTATATTGTACGGGTGTTATGTTGCTTCCGCATGTGCATTATTCTCTGTTTTGGGTTTTGGGTCGGCGACGCGTCCTGGGACGTCACACTGAATCGACCTCGGTAAGGTTGTCGCGTGCCGTAGGGTTCGGGGCGTGACACAAGTCATAAAATAAAAGCTCAGATTAGTGATTCTAGATTATACACTTATCATCTAATGCCATGAAATACCAGGGGATCATGAGAAGATAGGTTCAAGTTTCAAATTCTACCTACCTAAAACCTGGAACCTACCCGTCAAAACAGATTCTCCAATTTTTAGAACCTAGAACCTACCCTGCATATCTTGAAACCTGGAACCTACATGTTCCCATTGGTCAGGTTCTCAGGTTTCAGAGTAGAACCTGGAACCATGCTCACTCTTATCGCACACAACAACACAACACGGTTGATTATACGGAGTCACCCCCACATAGTCGAGCCGCCGCTAGACGCCAGCTTGACCCCAACGCATAAGACTTGCGCATTCTTATCTTTGTTTGTGAGAAGATTGTTTTCGGCTTGTGAACGGCGAGGCCACGTGAGCTCGACCTTGAGCCCACAGTTGTGGTTGCGACTGTGCCAAATCGGTCTTGAGCTGAAGAAGGCCACAAACGGCCGTGAACCTCTGCAACTAGCTCACGAACTCTGTAGGAAAGCTCAGCCACGGCCACCGGATCAAGCTAAGGTCAATGGAGAGGAAGAGAGGTAGCGGTAGGGAGGATTTCTTTGGAGATGGGAGTAGTTTGGAAAATAAAATGACAATTTAATAAATTATGCGTAGATGCAATTTGAAATCTATTTAAAAAGGTGAGAAGAATAATTGCGGGTTTTTGAAATGTGAAGATAGCGTTCGACATGGGAAGAAAAGTTGAAGATGGCTTTTGTCATGAAATGAATTAGATGTTACTCGTCCAGGCAGCGATAGTCCAGCCCTCGCTTGCAAAGGCAACCCGTGAGGGCGATCTTCTCTTAGGCTGCAAGGGTCCAGCCCTCGCCAAATCTAGCGATGGCCGCTCTCGCCTAGGTTGCGAGGGTCCAACCCTCGCCCTCACCGGCGAAGGTGACCCTCACTTGTGGCCGGTGGCCACATGCCCAAGGAGAAGAAAGGAAAAAAAAAAAAAAATTCAAAAAAATTATTAAAAATTATCCACGTCAGCGCCGACTGTGCCATGTCGGACAACTGGCGTCCACGTCAGCGATTTCCGACATGAATTAGCCGAATGGACTGAATTTGTACTAATGTGAAAAGATTTAGGACTAAATTTATCCAATTGAAATGTTTAGAACTGAATTGGTACCAATGCAATACGTTTAAAACTTTTTTGGTACTTTTTCCTCTATTTTAACATTGATGGAAAAATGCCACGCGACTTTATTTTTATTTCCATCTCACGTTACAATATTAAAAAAAGGCCACGTGGATTTGCTGCCCACTAAGACATAACAAAACTGAGAAAAGTAATAAAGTGAAATGAACTCAACTCTTTATACCAGTACTTCAAAATTTTGATGTTCCAGAACACAATACGAAGGAAAGATCGAACCTTGCTCTGACATATTGTGTCCTATAAGGAGGCGGCTACATCGTAACTATTCTACGGTATCAGAAATACGACAACTAACAACTGCTTTTAAGGTAAGCCAATTTCGACGTACCCCGCCAACCTGGACATAAATGAAGAAATTCCGGCGCTGTACAAAATGCAATGACAGTTCGGATATGCCTTGGAAAACATTTCAGATGCATCTTTGGCGTCGAGTCCTGCCTCTCCGAGCAACAAGGTATACACGACCATAAACCCATCGTCTGCCTAATATTGAGACAGGTTGCTGCAAGATGAAGACATAACAAATTAATTGATGCATCACAAACTACTCAGAGAAAAAAAGGGCAGCGCTTTCAAATTACAATATAGCTCAATGAACCAGCTTTCAGATTACAATATAACAAATTTATCAATGGGTGTTTCCATGGCAGGAAAGATTTAATTTCAGAAAATTTGTTGACCTTTGTAAAAGCAAGGCTAATATAGACTTACGAAGAGGAGATTCTTCCTTCTTTACCCGCGATATGTTTTTTAGTATTCAGATTGCTATCAGTGAGATTTGGTAAAAGGAAGTTAAGAACCATGCAGTGAAAAAGTTCTCTAATCCGTTTCTCTTCAATAAACTTTCAATTGGTCATTCCAGCTCAAGTTCTCAATATTATGATTGGACATGATCATGATGTATATAGTCAACATAATTAGAGAACGTTGATCCTGAATATAGCTGCATATTAAGGAGAGCATCCAAAAGTTTTGAGCGCTTCTGTGAAACAATCAAAGAAATCCAAGGAGCCACTTCCACAAGTGATGCACACTATAACCCGTTTTGTTCCTATGCCGAGTACCGACATGTCCAAAGGTACAGACGGAAGAAAATGATCATAACCTAAGAAAACATGAGAGGATCAGTTAATATACAGGCATGTCAGTACCTCAATCTTGGTGCGGAACTCTAAAGTGCTTTCACAAACGTGACAATCAGCTCTATGAGGTGAGCTACTAGATTTGTCTGACCTCACGAATGCAAAAACCTGCAAAAAGGTACAAATGTGAAGCAGCGACTAAATTTGACCAAATAACATGACTAAATAAATATTGCAAAGTCCTACATTTGTTGCAGATGTAGGCTTAAAGGAAAGTGAAAAGCAAAGTGATCCAATCACTTCAAGACCGAAAACAGTCAAAGACATGCTAAGAAATACCTCTTCTCCACAATTTGGACAAGCCCCTTTCAAAGCTACCAAGTCTTTCCTCCACAAGCCCAGAAGTGCTCCAACTATGAGAACAAAAAGATTGCGTAAATGATTCTCTGTGCAATAACCATGAAAGAACTATATTTTTCAAAGAACTTGACAGAACGATCACATTGTGTGCAATTCTAACAACTGCTGTTCACTGACATGCAAGGAAAGAGACACATCAAACAATTATCTTCCTCAAATTGAAGCACTCAAAGTTATGTTGACCTGAAGATGTTCCTCAACAATACATATGACTGCTTATGTTTCTAGGCATTTCGGAAATCAACCCAGGCAGACTTTTAATCATTCATGTGCATATTCTTGGCTCCTGCTTCTTGAAAAGTTCATTTACAAAAATAAATCAGTTGTCCTCACATGTCTACCGTAAGTCCAGTAATCTATGTGCTGACCACAATAACAACCTAATTTTTGTCCAAGTACCTAAGAAGACCTCATGACTCATGTTATCGCGTTCAGCTTATGAATTCTTCGTTCATTAGAAGTCACGTGACTCCAATGCCAACAATTCTGGAGTAGTATGCCCAAATATGAGAGTACCATACTCCGGTAGATGATTATGAAAACTTCAATCGAGACTTGTCGAGAGAAAATAACAACAGAAGAAAGTCAATTTGCTTTCAAAGGAAAAGAAAGGAAAAATCTGAAACTATCTACCACAAACATAGAAATCTTAATTAGTAAATTTTGTGGTACTTCATCAGTATAGCAACACCACACACGAAGCATTGGGCCAAGGTATATTACCAGAAGCTGAAACGATTGGATATCCAACAAGTGATCCTGATGCCATGAGAAGAAAGCCATTAACCGCAGAGAGAAATCCTAGTGCAGAGCCTTGTGTGCCATGGTAAATCCCCGAGTTAAATGGATCTTGATAAGCCAGACCAACAGTGTAAACTACTGGCACGATAAATGCCGAGCCTCCAAATGCCAGAAACAGAATCCATATGATGGCAAGGGCAAAAGCCTGAGACAAATCTTCCTGCCCTACGTCCATGTCAATCAATCTTGTAGTGAAGAAAAAATGTAAAGCGAGCTTTTTCAAATTAAAATCTATTAATAGCCTCAAAGAAAGAATCTTGATTTCCACCATGAAAGAGAGGTGGACAGGGATATTTCATAATTGTTCCTATAGAACCGCATGGCACCGGAAAAAAAGGTGGAGGAAATGCCGAAACGAATGGTAAGATGATTCCTATAGAGTCGTGACATCAGAAGAGGATGAAAAAAGCAGACATGGCTGGTGCTCACAAACGGTGGATAACCAATCACAGAGTGCACATGTGCGCACCCCCCACATGCGTGTGTAATTTCGGTAAGTGACGTATGCGAATCGTTTTGCCAAGAACTAATTCGATATTGATACATCCAAACAGATAGAGGTACTATGTAGGCCTTCCACGCTACACCTGAACATTTTACTGCACATGAAGCTTCAGAGATGATTACCTCTGCATCTGCATACACCGATTGTCGCCTGAGACTGCAGCGAGGATACTTGACAACCGAATCGGACCCGTACCACCGGAGTTTTAACTGTTCAGAATCATAATGGTAAGTAAGGAAGGAGAAGACCAAGACTCCAAGAGACAAAAAAGAGGACGATTCGAGCATCGCAACTAAATGTTGCGAATCGAAATGCTGCGCTAGTTTTACCTCCACTCGATCAAACATGTCGTCGACTATGAGAGGCTTGCCGCTGTAGTACGCATCTCGTGCCTAGGACAAAGACCAAGATGTGAATTCCTCCCTCAGACTGTCACGGATTATTAAAATGACAATAATCACCAAAAAAAAAAGAAGAAGAAGAAGAAGAAGAAAGAAAGTCCATGCTGATATTCAACAAGCCACAGAAACATTCTAACAGAACGATTCGGTTGTGAAGAACCCCCCAAAACTCAGAAGCTCAGTACATGCCGCTTCTGAAGATTAGCTAACGCGCCCCAACACCAGTGGAATTCGATAAAAGATTTTGCACAAGCAAACGGTCCTACGGCAGATGTTGGAGAACAGTCCGATAATGCTCTAAGAACGACCGGAACACGAGAAAAGAGATAGTATCAAGCAAATCACGAAGTGAATTCGGACATCGATGAACGAATATATATATATGTAAACGGTTACTACAATTCGATGGGTATCCTCTCCGCACAATTAACTCCCACTCCTCCAGAAAAGAGGCGATAACCAAAACAATCGCAGCGAACTTGCCAACCTGACGATAGAGAGCTTCGAGCGTCTCCTTGCTGGCCGTCTCGATGGGGCCGACGTAGATGCAGGACGGGGCCTCGGCGGCGAGGCCGAGCTCGCCCGGCTTGCAGGTGGCGATCCCGCGGCACCGCGTCGGGATCCGGACGGAGAGCGGGGCTCCGGAGACCCGGAGTCCCCGGGAGAGCCCGGCGGCGCGCGGCGCGAAGGAGGAGCTCGTGCCGGCCATGAAAGTCGGGGGGTAGCGGCGGAAGTTCAGTGGCGCGGGGGAGGGAGAGGAGGAGGAGAGCGAGGCGCCATATCTTGAGGTCGGGAATGAGTCCCGCGTCTTTTTCCTGAGAATCAGAGCGCGATTTCGTCTTGGCCACAAGCAGGAAGTGGCGTGGGACACGGAGGGGTCCTTTTACGTTGTCCCGATCGCGGAGTGCAAAGACGGGGATGCCCCTGACGGGGAGGGCCGGGGGGGCCTCTTTGGGGTTTTGATTTCGGCGGCGAATGTCTATCTGGTTCACGCGAGGGAGTTCGGTGTTCTCCTCCATCTCAGAGGACTTGGGAGGCCATCGGAACATCACATCGGGGATACATAGGAAACGTGTCGGCTTCCGTTTTGATTGGCTCGGGGATTGGGGCCCGTGGGATATTTTCTGGGGGCTATGATTGGTTGTGGATTTTGTGCCCAGAAAGGAAAGGAAAGGAAAGGAAAGGAGGCAGAAATTCGGGGACGGCACCTTTTTGTCATTTCTGGCAGTGCTTTGTCCTCGTACGATGTCGTCTAGACTGGGGGCGAAAATGAACATGTTGGGTGCAGGAGAAGGGAGAAGAAAAAATCGAAAAAACTGAAGGGAGAAGCTGCGTTTGCCGGGAGTCGAACCCGGGTCTATTGCTTGGAAGGCAATTATCCTAACCGTTGGACTACAAACGCTTTGTTTTGACTTCTGTTCCGATTTATTTGATTAAGCAAGAAAAGGAACACTGCCTTCTTCTCGCCAGGGTACAGAGTCGATCTTCCCTCTCGTGAACCCAGAAAAAGGAAGACATATCTGGAACGAGAGATCAGAACACTGGTTTGTGCATGAATGAACGAAAGCCAATGAATGAATGGAAGTCCGCGTATGTAGATGAAATTGCTACCCCCTCCTATTCGTTTTATTTGGACTGACTGTACAGCACAGCAGAATGATCGTCTTTTCCTACATGCCACAAGTATCTAAGGTTCCCCGAATAACAACAAAAGATTGTATGGAGTTCTTTCTAGCCTAAACTCTCTTCTCTAATCCTCTGGACCCTTTCAAGAACCCCTTTTACTGATACATCAAATGCATCTTCCAGGTTCTCTAGTTCAGACGTCGGATCGGCATACAGAATCGTCGGAATGAGCCGTATCACCTCCCCTCGCATGGCCGATACATCCTTCTGCGGAATCCGAAGCAATAGCTTCTCGATTGCGACCTTCCCGTCTTTTACCTGATTCTCCGGTATGAACACGGAATATTTGGAGTGATCGCCCGGCAAATGCCACTTGTATTGCTCATAAGCCGAACCGCTGTGGAAGAAAACAGGAATGCACCCTGACAAGATAGAGTCGAAGGCCGACCTTCTGGTATACGAATCCCCAGGAGGTTGCAAGCAGAAGATGGAGCTTTGAAACAGCTTCATCAAGAAAATCGGCTTGTGACACTTGTTTCCCCTGGAATTGCATTCCAACAGCTTGCATTTCCTTCTCGAAGCACCGCATTGGCTGATGATCTCGTCACGGATAGAGTTAGATAGGTTTTTCCTCGGGGCACCCGCAAACGAGAACAAGTAACGCCTCTTTTGCCTTCTCATTCTGCTTTGCCATTGGCTTACTTCGATGTCCTTCGAAGGGTGGAAGTAGGTGGGGTATGGTATAGCGAAATCGTTACCTTTAGGCAAAAGCGATGACTCGAGTACTAATATGGTCATGTTCATCGATTCGGGCAAAAGCATGAGATTGCTACCCCAATCGGAGAGTCGGTCGTTTTCTCTCCTGAAATCCCAAACAATTCTCCCAGCGACTAGGAAATGATCCTTTCCGCCCATGACATTCCACTCCGAACGTCTTCTGAGCCACCGGACAAGATCGAGCGAACCAGCATCTCTCAAGGTTCTGTTAGAATTCCACAGGTATCTAGCCACATCGAGGCCCACGTAATAGGGCACGAAAATTGCCGAAGCAACCGAGGAGTCACTGGTCAAGCACTTGTACTGTTTCATCCTGTTGTGAAAAATGACCTCCAATGAGAACTGATTAGTGGCATACCAACCAGTTTTTCCTAGAACCTTATTGGAATTGGCAAGCCGAGGACCAAGACCGAAGTTCGCTAACGAGTCGCACATATTCATCCAAGTACTAAGCGACTTGCACTGCCTGAGGAGGTCTTCATTGAACTGCCTCGGCAGCTTGTGAATGTAAACGCGTCGCCCTTCGCAGGACATCGAATCAGCTTCTCCATTTTCCCTAATTGTCTTTTCTTCTGCAATCTCCGAACTAGGAAGCGAACTATGAGTCCTGTTCATAACGCCTTCGACGGAGGAACTATCCGGAGCATCTTCCTTAAATCTTATGCCCTCGAACGGTCTTCTAATCTCGCCTTCAGTATTTGCATCATCGCTCCATACGATGCTGCTCTGAGTGTAATTCTCGGCAAGATATATCGGGCTATAATTTACTAAACGGATAGGATTTGCACGGAACAACGAGATCAATACGAACCAAAGGAGAAACCCGGCCAAGATAACAAACCATAATCGATTCCAACACATAACAACGAGTGATTTTTCCATCGCTTTGCTATCTTCGAGCTCTTCCCGGCATGTCCGATGTAATCATCCTCACGTAGCACGACAATCCGAAGTAAGGAAATACTCTCGTTGCTCGAAACGAAAGGAGAACGTGTTCTGTTTAGCTACAGAGACAGAGTTTTATTTCTCAAGGGACCGTGAGGAAATCAAGCATCGCATGGCCAACAAACTGTGCACCAGATTAAAACTGGAGAACCAAAAAGAAGATGAAAGGATGAAACCTTCATACCTCTTTGTTCACACCATCAGGAAATCTGCTGATTCCTCGGTTGTTTTCGTCTTTTTCCATTTTTTTCCTGAGATAAGAGCCATGAAAGTGAGGGAGCTTTCGCTCCTGGCGATCGAACGTCAACTTTGGAATGCGAAAAGTCTGGCATTTGCCAGATTAACACGGAACTCCAGATGTAGACAGGTAATCCATCTTTATTGGCACAAGCCAGGATGCTAAATCTGGAGTGTTTAAGACAAAGGGTCGTCTTTCCTTTTCGTCATCTATATTCTGTATCTTTAGGGCGCGTAGCAGAGGAATAATAACATCATTTTCATCCACTCGATTATTTTTCAGGAAACTCTTTAAGGCATTCACATCAGCTTGATTGTTACTGCCATAAATGGTTGAAAACTCTGGCTGGACATTAGCGCATCTTCACAGCCTACACGCAAGCTCCTATATCAAGCGTGCATGCATGATCCACTTGAGAAGAATGTAACAAGTAATTGTTTTAAAAACATGTAAGAAAAATGACAGAAAAGGAAAAGGCGAGCAGGCTGAAAAACTGGCAAAGGCAGACGAAATCACAAAGCAAACTGGCAAATGGGCTTTAATAGGGAACTGACTTGGCAATCTCTTTCGGTTCGGTTCACTCGGTTAGGTTATCTTTTCTAGGGTGATCTGTTTCCAGTTCGGACAATCGGTCCGGTCCGGTCTTACGGAACCGATCGCTTATTTAACATGAAAATGAAATTAAAAAAAGAAAAAGGGCGAGAGATTTCGGCTTTTCTCCGGCAAAAAGAAATAGGTCCAACCAATCAATTAGAGAAATCTTCCATGCTTTTCTCCGGCATATTCAGCCAGCATGATCAAAGGAGTTAATTCCTCCAAATTATGTAAAAAGGGGCAACAAATGCGGCAGTGATAAAAAAGGGAAGCAAAGGAGATTCTCTCGATTTTATTTTGGCAACAAATTTGGCAAGGGAATCTGGTCGTGAGGGAAACTGGGAAAGAGCATGCAGAGACAGATATTCTCTTTGGAAGATAATGGGAAAGCTCAGTTGGGGAGGAATAAAAGGAAAATATGAATAAAAAGAAAGAGGACGAGAGATTTAAACACTGAGCGAAGCAAATCAGTGAGATCATTCACGCCGCTCTTTTCCCTTAATTTTTCGAAGAATAAATATATATATATATAGCCAGTCCGGTCTAGTTCCCTATTGGAATCGAGAACCGGATCGCCCGGACACCGGTTCTACTTTTAGGAACCGGGAGCCGGATTGTCACTCTCAGGAACCGGACCAAATCGACCGGTTCGGGCAGTTCTCTTGCTCATCCCTAATCTTTTCCAATGAGGAGTACGTTACGCAGCTCGAATCGAAGAGGCATTTGGGCCAATGGATATGTCTTTAGCAACCTTCATATCCAGAATAAAAAGTATTACCAGTCTCATGGGCCTGAAAGAGCAATACCCGTCACTATGTTCATTTGCTTGTTACTCGCAGCAAAACTGAACTTCGAACCTGGACTTGCCAACTTTCGACAAGCTCAGCCCTACAAGCAAAGTCTTTTGTTGGAGAAAACTGAGCCCAGCCCTTGATGAGCTCCACATCTTTTGAACGAAACAACTATAATTACTAAAAAAATCCTAAAGGATGTCAATTCAGTATTAAGCTTTTTAATTTGATCAATTTAATTCAAAATTTTCTGACGATTTGCTATTGCAGTGCTTCTGGCCAATTTTGGCTTGCAATCGCTAACGTGGACAGCTTTTGCAGTTTTTAAATTTTTTTTTCTGAATTTTCTTCTTTTTCCATTTTTCCTTTTCTTTTTTCTATTTTTTTTACAAAACGAAATTTCGAAAAAATGTAAATTTTTTCCACATCAGCGCTAGCTATGGTGACTGTGCTACATAGGACGGCCGGCGTCCATATCAACGATTTCCAACCCGAAATTGGCCGAAATGACTACATTGGCAAATCGTCAAAAAGTTTATGATTAAATTGGCGAAATCGATAAGTTTAAAACTGAATTAATTTATGTACAATAATTTTACGACTTTTTTCGTGATTTTCCTGACCAAATAGGTCCTCTTTTAACACAATATCAGTGAATGAAATATATAGAGAACTTGAACATTCGATTTGTTAACGTGTTGTGCGAAATCTTGTGCTTTGCTCGATTTCAACTAGGGGTGAGCATGGTTTGGGTGAGCAGTTCCCAACATAGAACCGGGAACCGCCCACTAAGAACCGATTCCGAAAAATTAAAATCGAAAATCGCCCATTGGTTCCATGGATCCACCGGGGAACCGGATCGCATCGGCGGTCCGATTCCCGGATGGATCCATGGAACCGGTCCCACTAAGCTTCATGCAAATGGAGGTGATCGAGAGTGAGAGAGGGAGGCGATGAACGATTAGAGACGCGACCGTGAGTTGATGGGAGTTAAGAGTCGAACTTCAAATTAGAGATTTTAAGGTTTTCATTTTTCTTAAAATATTTTGTTTTTTTTTTTGAAATTTTTCTTAAAAATTATATATATGTATATATATTACCTGTCCGGTCTGGGTGGGCGGGTGAGTGGTTCCACGTCTAGAACCGAGAATCAGATCGATACTCACCGGTTATAGTAACTTAGAACCGAGAACCAAACCGGTCCCCACGAGAACTGCCGGTTCCGGGCAGTTCCCGGTTCCTTTGCACACTCCTAATTTCAACATATCATGACTATAAGTTGCACGTCAATAATGACGTTGAAGAAGCGTCTCCAAACGAGATGTTACTATAAATTCGAAAATACGGTTTCAACTCTCAAACATTTATATCTATGTTCTACTTTAGTGAGGCTCACATTGTAAAGAAAGGAATGAGTATAATCTCGGAGCGCCTAATGATTTTTTCCTTTGGTACGCCCAACCACCATAACAAACTCGTACTATGTATACATTCATTTTGACTAATGAATAATAGCATGGGTCAGATGCTATGCTAGATACGGATTTCGTTATGGGAGTACGGAGATGTCGGGATTGGCTTTTAGAGGTTGCGTACGATTTTCGATTTGGAAAATTGGTCGCGAAGGTTGGTGAGTGATCAAATTCGAGCTCGATGAAATCATTGGATTTGCCCAAAATTGAATGCAAAGGCACGGACCACGTGAGCGCCAGGGAAGGGGCCTTTGATTTTGGGTGTTTATTCCTCACCTTCTCCGAGCTCGTGTTAGGTGACCGAGCGTTGGGACGCACTCATCAATGTTTCCATCAATGTTTCCTCTCCCATAACACCTAATACATTTACTTCTCCCAATGCCAAAAGTCAACTGGGGAGGTGCCGGGGAAAGTGACGCAAACGGGTCTGGTCGGGGGCGGCCCGGGCCCGGCGAGGCATGCCTACGCCGTCCGGCCCGGTACGCCGATCGTACCAGCTAGTTACTACGGTGGCCTACGTACGTGGCTTGCAGGTCGATACAGTTATGTTCAATCAGTGTCTTGAAAATCGAATCATTCCAAAGAATGTATAGTTAATAAGTATCTCGGAGGCACTCGTTAACATGGAAACCCTTCAAAATTCTAGGTTTTTGGATCTCGTAATACCGAGACTCTTTTGCCAAAGAATCTCGTATTCCTTAATATTTTCTACAAGACACATCTTGTATTCTTACAATCTTACATTATAGACAACTCACATCTTGATTGATTTTTGTATTTTAAACAACGGGCTCGTCAGATCGTTCGAATGAGTTTACTCTCTGAAGGCGCGATCCTAAGTCGACACAACACGAGGCAGAACATAGTTTGGTCTAACTGAGCATACCCCGCTCGAGAGTGTCGACAGGGCATAGCAGAAGGATAGGACGGCCCACCATGACTCAAATGACATCACTGAGCGTGGCATGAACGTGACCGGTCTCTTGCAAATGCCAACTTCGAGTTTGCATCCACTTTGCGAAACTCAAACACGATTCGAACTCCGTTGCCATGCCATGTATGACTTCATCTGTTCGCGCATGGGCTTACATGCTAAGAAATTGAAACCATCGAGGGTGGATTGTTAGTTGCAGACATCATGTGGAAAAAAAAAGAGGAAAACACAGCACCAGAATTCATTTGGACATTTGGTCCACATAATATTTTTTGCCGGATCGATTAGTAGTTATAATTGCTTGTCCCTCTGACCTTTTGGCCCTGCAATTCAATCATGAACTTACTGTTGTGTTCTTTTCCTATTCAAAGGCCATGATAGGAGGTAGTTAGAGTCGGTTGTTGCAGCAGTTGGCCCCTGGGATTTCAAAGCATCTCTTTCTCCTTTACCATCGAGTGCTGTGGCTTTTAACATGGAGTGCTGGCGATTTCCTTAAAAAAAAAAAAGGAAGAAAAGTGGGCGTTTTGCTTTGGGACAGAGAAACCACGAAAAGCTGTTCCTGTTCCTGTTCCTGTTCCTGTTCCTTTTCCTTTTTCTCTTGAATCTGCGTAAAGTTGGGGGTGGAACCAATCTTGCTGAGGCGTGCTGCGCTTCATCAAAGATTAGGGTCGCGTGTCTTGAGATGCATGGTTCCCTCTTCCCCACCCGGAAACGGTTCGACAAAGATCAGGCAAATGCTCCTGATAAATCGCAGTCATTGCGTGTGAAGTGGCCGCAGCACTTGGCTAGAAATATTTATCAATTTGCTGCCCCACCTTCCACATTTTAGTGGCAAAGGGTCTTTACCCTTTGACACTTTCGCTCTTTTCAAATCATACACCTTGTTTTGCGATCGAGGCGCGCCTAACTGAGTTGCATTCAGGCGATGCATGCACATGGATAGACACCGAGGGCGATGGAAAAGAACGTGATCCTGGTTCGATTGAGCACGCGAGACTAGCGATATACCACCTTTAATACGCCCTAAATGAGATGAGATGAAATGCCTTTTTCTAGATGAGATATTCGTTAGCTTATAGCAAGGACTTGCCCCTCCTATTTTTCTTTTTTCCTTTTCAATCGCCGAAATTTTGTTTACTCGATAATTAACAGGACCTCAAATACGTGCTATGCGCATGCACAGTTTTTTTTTCTCTGCGAGTTCTCCCTTAAAGGTTGCTGTTCGCAATGAACAAAGATGATTGATTCACAATAAAAGGTTCATTCTTTGATATATCAAGCAATTATTAAAATTAACGAAAAATGAAAAACTCCTCCAACTAAAAATAAGCCATC